GGTGCAAGTGGGCTTGCAAAAGAGGAAGTTTGGCTAGACACTCACTGGAGGTAGCTGTTCTAGACTTCAGAACCAGAAGCGGGACAAGTGTTGTGGCTCAGGGAGCTAAGCTGCCACCTGCAATGCCAACATCCCATATCAGAGTATTGCTCCAAATGTTTGGCTGCTCTACTTCTGATATAGCTCCTTGTTAATACACCTAAGAAGGCAGCAGAGGATGGTCCAAGTGTTTGGGCCCCTGCCATCCACACAGGAGACCCAGATGGTGTTCTGGGCTCCTGGCTTCGTCCTGGATCAGTCCCAGTCATTGGGGCCATTTGGAGAGTAAACAAATGAATGGAAGATCACTCTCTCTCTCTCTCTCTCTCTCTCTCTCTCTCTCCGCCTTTCAAATAAATAGTTGAAGAAAAAGAAGAACCAGAAGGGTGTGTATGGGATGGGATTCTGGGTGGGAATGAGCAGGAGGTGGAAATCAGGATACTGTTGCAAGGAAGAGATAATTCATCCCCTGGCCCAGTGCACCACAGGTCCTCAATGAACACAACTTCAACTGACCAAAATGCACCTAGTAACACAGAACTGGGATATGCATGAATCATTTGTTCAGCATCCCACCCTCTGATGGTCATAAAAGTGACATTCAGAAACAGGGCAAACCAGCTTAGAGACTCTCTCCTGAAACACTACATGAAATCATGTGAACATTACAGAACCAGCTGGAGTTCTAGAGCTAAATTTAGAGCTCAGGACAATCTAAAGAACCAGTTCCCATTTACTCCTTCCACTTCCTTTAATCGGGCATTGTTCTTTCATATCCTGAAATATCTCAACTCGCATTGCATTATGAAATGTTACTACCCAAAAGTTGCATTATGGAAAAATTAAAAAGAAAAATGCAAAGATAAAAGTTAAAATTCCTGAGATTGTTCCTAAAAATAGCTACTGTTAATATTTCAGTGTTTCCTCCCACACACACATACTTGCTCACTATTGCTCTCTGGATATTGTACTGAATAAGTTTTCTAGCTTGATTTTTTTGTCTAATTTGTTTGAAAGAGACACACAGAGAGAGATAGAGAGTTCCCAATCTGCTGGTTCATTCCCCGGATGCCTGCTAAAGTCCAGACTGGGCCCAACTAAAGCCCAGATCAGGAACTCAATCCAGATCTCCCTCATAGATAGAAAGGATTTATTACTTGAGCCATCATCTGCTGCCTCCCAGAGTGCATATTAATAGGAAGATAGAAGCCAGAGTGAAGATAGGAACAGAGTAGTTGCATTAGGGGGTAAGTCGCCACCTGAAATGCTAGCATCTTATAAAAGTGTCAGTTTGCGTCCTGGCTGCTCCACTTCCAATCCAACTCCCTACTAATGCACTTGGGGAAGCAGAGGAAGATGGCCCAAGTGTTTGGGCCCTTCACCCATGTGAGAGACCCTGATGAAGCTCCTGGCTCCTGGCCTCAGCTTGGCCCAGCCCTGACTGTTGAGGCCATTTGAGGAGTGAGCAAGTGGATGAAAGATTCTGAATCACCCTCTCTCTCTGCAACTGTGCCTTTCAAATACATAAAATAATTAAAAAAAAAAAAAAAAAAAAGAGTGGAGCTAGATCTTGAAGCCAGGCATTTTGATATGGAATTCCAGTGTCCCAAGTGGTGCTTTAACCACTAGGCCAAACACTTGCCCCTGAGGTGAGGATTTAAATGAGATAATATGCACAAACATTTAGCAGAATCTGACCCCGAGTGAGCTCTCAATAAATATTATCAACAATTATATCTGTAATTGCTTTCTCAAGAAATATTGTATTAACTTTCATCCCTGGGGGCAAAGTCAAGTTCTTTGGGGGAGCTTATAGGACTGAACTCTCAAATAAAACTTTAAAAGTAGCAATACATTCCGGTCTTTTGTCCACCAGGATGACAGCGCCAGTTTACTTCTGCTGTAAGCAATGTCCTCAGAGACGCGGCTTCTCCTGCAAGCATCTTATCCAGTCCCTCTAGTGGCCAGGAGGGTGAATGTCTCATAGCTAAGTCAGAAAAGAAAAAGAAAGCAACCCCACTTCCTTTTTTGTAAAGGAACTTCATAGTGATCCAAGTAACGTCCCCCAAGGTCATTATTGGTCTCTGTGTCCTACAAGCTGCAGTTTTCTCTCCAAGACAGAGAGGGGAAAGTGTGCAGATCTGGTGGAAGCAGTGGTTCTCAATCTTGGCTGAACTTTGAAATCCTGAAATCGAGATAGTACAGAGGCTGTCGTCTCAATAGACAGGGGTGCAGCTGAGCACCAGGAGTTTTAAAAGCTCACCAGGAGACTAATGGTAGGCTGAGGCTGAGAACCACTAGACTAAAGGAAATGCCTTCAACCCCATTTTGACCTCTTTCCCATCCAGTCCTTGATCAGACAGGCTGGAGAGCAGTTACGTCCTCTCACCGCTTCCTCTGACCTGAGGAGGGTTTTAAGGAAAATAAACAAGCACCCTGAGGGCCAGGGATTTGGATGCCACTTGGAATGCTGACATCCATATCTGAGAGTACGGGTGTGAGTTCCAGCTCCACTCCTGATTCCAGCTTCTAGCTTCCTAATGCTGCACACCATGGAAGGCAGCATGTGATGGCGCAAGTACATGTGTCCCTATGTCCTACATGGGAGACCTGGATGGAGTTCCAGGCTCCTGGCTTTAGCTTGACCTAACCCCAAGCTTGTTGTGGGCATCTGAGGAGTGAACCAGCAATGAAGATGTCTCTCTCGCTCTTTCTCACTTACTCACTTGCTCTTGCTCCACCTTTCAAATAAAAATAAAGTTTTTTAAAGAACTTAAAACAGCCTGGGGCAGTGGCTGTGGCACAGCTTGCATTTCATATCAGAGGCCACCACCTCTGCTTCCAGTTCAGCTTCCTGATAATATGCCTGGCAACCAGTGGTGATGGTTCAAGTGCCTGAGTTCCTACTACCCACATGGGTGATCTGGATGCAACCTGGCTGTTGTAGGCATTTGGGGAGTAAACCAGCAGATGAAAGATACCTCTATCTCTATCTCTATCTCTATCTCTATCTCTATCTCTATCTATCTCTATCTCTATCTCTATCTCCCTCTGTGTGTGTGTGTGTGTTGTTCGTTCTGCCTTTCAAATAAATTAAATAAATAAGTAAAAAAGAAATTTACAAATCCCAGGGTTAATAATTTCTGTGGGACTGCTATCTTCCAGTTACCTCTAGCCATCTGGAAATAAAACTGGTCACCAGTATAAGTGACGTAGGTAATTCTACATTTTCTAGGACTAGACACATTAAACAAAGGTAAGCAGAACTAGGTGGGGGCCAGTGCTGTGGCATAGAGGGTCAACCTGTGGTGCTGGCATCCCATATGGGCACCAGTTCAAGTTCCAGCTGCTCCACTTCCGATCCAGTTTCCTGCTAATGCACCCAGGAAAGCAGGAGAGGATGGCCCAAGTATTGGGCCACTGCACTGGCATGGGAGACCCAGAAGAAGCTCCTGGCTCCTGGCTTCAGCCTGGCCCAGCTCTGGCCATTGCAGCCATTTGGGGCTTGAACCAGTGGATAGCAGATGGAAGATCTCCCTCTGTCTCTCCCTCTCTGTGTAATTCTGCCTTTCAGATAAAACTAAATAAAAAAAAAAAGAAATAGATGAAATACATTTTAATAATATTTTAGTTCAATCAAATATATACAGAATAATATCATTTCATTGTTTAATATAAAACATTAGGAGTTATTTTATAATCTTTTTCATATTGTCTTTGATATCTGTTATGTATCTTATGCTTGCAGTTCCCAGAATCAGTGAAATACCTACTTTTTAAATTTGCTATATTTTTAGTTTTTTATTTTATTTATTTGAGAGGCAGAGAAAGCACTTCCTTCCAGTAGTCCACCCATCAGATGACTGGACCTAAACGAGGAGAAAGCTGGGAGCCCAGAACTCAATCCAGGCCTCCCACATGGGTGACAGGAACTCAACCACTTGACCCATTACCTGTTTCCTGCTGCTCCCAAGGTGTGCATTAGCAGGAAGCTGGAATAGAGAATGTCGCTCCCCCTCTTCATGGAGGAATGACACTAAACCCTGCCTAGGCTTCATATCCGAGTCACGGCACCATTATGTCGCTCCCCCTCTTCGTGGAGGAACGACACAGGACCCTGCGCTGTTCTTTCGTCTGCTCGGCCCTCCCCGGGTTTGCTGCTGGTTCTTCCCGGGTTGGCTACTGTCCCTTCCACCTCCGTGGAGCGGCACACCGCCGGCCGGCTCTCTCGTGGGCTTCTCGGGGGCTGCTCAGGTGTTCCCCTTAGATGTTCCTGGTGCATGCCGTCTCTCTCCTCCTTTATAGTCCTCCTCCGCCAATCCCAACTCGGCTGCCCACACGCCGAGTACGCTGCTCTCCTCCAATCAATAGCAAGTCCTACAGTTTATTGGTTGAACTGGAGGCAGCTGTGCAGAAGCTGTTTACCTCTCTCCCAGCGCCATATTGTGGGAGAGCAGATGCATAGAATAAGTCTTAATTCCAGTAACTCAGTCCAGTCCGGATTGCTCCCCACAGAGAATGGAGCCATGACTCAAACCCAGACACTCTGATATGGGTTGCAAGCATCCCAAGCAGTGTCTTAACCACTACACCAGATGTGTAACCCTACACAAACTTCTTAAACAATTAATAAATAAAATTAAAAATATAGAAAATCAGAACTTCAGAACCGCCAGATTCCCACCATCCACATGATAATCACAGAGCTGTTTCCATTCCTGGCTTCAGTAGCAGCAGCTGGAAGTCTGAAGATTCTCCCCACCCCAAAGATTGGGTCTGGGTGACACCTGGCTATTGAGATTAATTGTTCACACTCCCCATGTGAATTCTAATGAGCATCAAGATGAGAACCAGAGTCCTCAGTCTAGGAATATCACATTTACAGTGCATAACAGTTATGTGAAGATCTTGGAGTAGGTTTGGGATGGGGTTCCCAACTCTACATTTTTTTTAATTTGTTAAAAAATATGGAATGCTCCACGAATTTGCATGTCATCTTTGCACAAGGGCCATGCTAATCTTCTCTGTATTGTTCTAATTTCAGAACACGCCCTGCTGAAGCAAGCACAGGATTCAGCATTTCCATCAAGCTCCAGGTGACACTGGCACAGCAGACCTGTTTTTTTTTTTTTTTTTTTTTTTTTTGACAGGCAGAGTGGACAGTGATAGAGAGACAGAGAGAAAGGTCTTCCTTTTCCGTTGGTTCACCCCCCAATGGCCGCTGCGGCCAGCGCGCTGTGGCTGGCGCACGGTGCTGATCCCAAGCCAGGAGCCAGGTGCTTCCTCTTGGTCTCCCGTGCAGGTGCAGGGCCCAAGCACTTGGGCCATCCTCCACTGCACTCCCGGGCCACAGCAGAGAGCTGCCCTGGAAGAGGGGCAACCGGGAAAGAACCGGCCGGGACTAGAACCAGGGGTGCCAGCGCCACAGGCGGAGGATTAGCCTATTGAGCCGCGGCGCCGGCCCTGCTAGCCATCCTTTAAACATCCCAGACTCTTAGCTGTGGACAAGTGTCTGTATATACATTTTTCCCTCTACAAATTAATCCTACTATAGTCTTGTTGTAAAATCTGCTTTTAAAATTATTTATTTATCTATTTAAGAGGCATATAGAGACACACACAAAGAGCAAGCTCCCATCTGCTGGTTCACTCCTCAACTCTCTACTGGGGGCCAAAGTTAGAACTCAAAACCAGAGCCAGGAACTCAATACAAATGCACTCCACTGTGGGTGGCAGGAACTCAATAATTTGAGCCATCACTGCCTCCTCCCAGGGTCTGCATTAACAGGAAGATGGAGTCAGGAGCCAGAGTCAAGTACCAAAGCCAGGCGTTCTGATGTGGGGCATGACGTCCTAACCTGCCTGCTAACCACTAGACCAATCATAAGTCTTGACAACCTGTTTTTTTTTTTAATTCAATTATCTAGGTTAACCGTCTTTGTATATTCAAAAAATGCTCTTCTACAGAAAGAGTTTTGATTGTACACAAGAGGTTGCATTCTAAGGATGTGTCACTAGCAGGGCAATTTGGAAGGTGGGGATTGCAGATGGCATGTCACACGGTCTGGGAAGTGCAACCCCACCAAGACCAAGGATGGCGCTTCCCAAGCAATCCCAATGTACTGTCCCGCTCTTCTCTTCCTTCACATAGAGAACAACTAATTTAATAAGTTCCCACTTGGGGGACCTTAAATTTCTGTCATCACAAACAAAGCAAAATAGCTTTTCTGAGAAAAATAAAGCACACTAATCTCATGAGGAAGATGTTATTCTCCTTTTTGTATAGGTAAGTGGCTCCTAAAATCTGCATTTCTAAAAGCAGGCCATGAAACTGTTCATCATCTGCTTTGTAAATCATTGAAATTCCAATTCAACCATTTTATACTAGTGGGAAGGATAATGGTATTTCCTGGATAGAGTCAAATGCAGAGTGTTAGGCACTCACAGCCTCTGCCATATATCTGTGCAGAGGTGCAAGGCCTGGACAGAGCCTCATGTCTACTCTGCCCATCCGTAAATGGGTTGGGGGGTAGAAATCCGATGAGAGAGCGGACAGAGAGGGCCCAAGGAGCAGCCCATGAGGAGCTACCCTGTGAAAACTCGTGCTCATTGGAGAGGAGGTGGTGCCAGGAGGCAGCAGAAGCCACTGAGACCCAGGGCTCCTGATAGCAGAAGTGTGGCAGAAAAGAGAAGTTAGAAGCAGGCTGGTAGTGACAAAAGGGTGCAAAGCAGGGGTTGGCATACAGCTGATTAGAACAGCAATGGTATTCACACTCCATCTCTCTGAATTCAGAGTTTCTGCTCTTGGTCACTTGAGCTATAGTGACTCACCAATTGCAACAGTTAAAAGGAAGTATAGAGATGCTCCAAGTGCAAGCTCCTTTTGAAGTAGGAAGGCAACTTCCAAACCTCTCCATTTCATACAGTCACAGTTGCCCCTCAGGGTGAAGTCAAGCTTCCAGAGGCAGCAACTGCCATTTGCAGACATAGCCAGAAGTTCCTCATTTAGCATATATTGAACTCTTTCTAGAATCCTCCACTTCAGCATTTCCCCAGGCAGTAGATAAAGTGCGAAAAGCCATCAATTTAGTCTTGAATTAGACAGCCAGATGAAGCTAGTACAATGAATCAAGCTCCATCTTCACCCGAGAAAAGGGACCCGCCAGTCACTAAAACACACGCTGCTTTGCCATGTGTCTGCAGGAGGCAACCCCAGGCCTTGCTCCGGGAGTACAGAGAGGGCCTCAGGTATTTCCTCCGGAGAGGCTTCCACCAACACTGCAGTGGAGGCTACAGAACTGTGGGCCCAAGGCTGAGGGCTTTAGAAAAAGGAGTACCTTGCGGCGCCGGCACACCAGGTTCTAGTCCCGGTCGGGGTGCCAGATTCTGTCCCGGTTGCCCCTCTTCCAGGCCAGCTCTCTGCTGTGGCCAGGGAGTGCAGTGGAGGTTGGCCCAAGTGCTTGGGCCCTGCACCCCATGGGAGACCAGGAGAAGCACCTGGCTCCTGCCTTCGGATCAGCGCGGTGCGCTGGCTGCAGCGCGCCGGCCGCAGCGGCTATTGGAGGGTGAACCAACGGCAAAGGAAGACCCTTTCTCTCTGTCTCTCTCTCTCACTGTCTACTCTGCCTGTCAAAAAAAAAAAAAAAGTGTTGCTTATTCGCGTGCGAGGCTGAGTGACACAGAAAAAAAAAAAAAAGAAAAAGAAGGAGTAGAAATTCCTTTTACTTTGTGCAATTTTATCAAGCCTGCTTTGTGGTTGGCTAAAGAAAAACATGGTATATTTAACTAAATTCTTGTCCAAACATCACAATTAACTTCCTCCTCCTCCTTTTCCTTTTCCTTCTCCTCCTTTTCCGGCTCCCTGAAGCTTCTAGAAAGTAAATTTTACATCTTTCACTCAGTTTTACTTCTGTGCCTGCTAAGGCTACAAGTTTACAGAACTGGCAAGGAGGGTACAAGGAGGAAGGCATTACCCCACAACCTGGGATTCACTCTGAAGGAGGGCAGAGGGCCAATCTGTCTGTTCCTGGACACTATAATTCTTTATCTTTCTAATTTTTTACCTTTTGAGAAGTTTTTTTTTATTTTATCTTTTTGAAAGGCATGGTGACAGACAGGGAGAGACAGAAATCTTCCATTCACTGGTGCACAACCCATGTGTCCCATGATCACAACTGTTGGGGCTAGGCCAGGCAAAAGCCAGGAGCAGGAACTCCATCTGGGTCTCCCATGTGGGTGGCAGGGGCCCAAGTACTTGAACCATCTTCTGCTGCCTTCCCAGGCACATTAGCAGGCAGCTGGATCAGAAGGGGAGCAGCCCGGACTCAAACCAGTGTTCTGATATGGGCTGCTGGTGTCACAAGTGGCACCTTTAACCCACTGTGCCACCATGCTGGCCCTTACAGACTCCTTTCCCACAACGTCAGTAGGACATTAATACCAAACATGAAAAATACATTGAAAAAAAAAAAAACTACAGACAAATTTCACTCATGAATGTAGACTTTATATTTAAATTGTTACTTACTCATTTTCATTTTATTGGAAAGGCAAAGAGATAGAGAAAGATAGACAGACAAGCCGGCGCCGTGGCTCAATAGGCTAATCCTCCACCTTGCGGCGCCGGCACACCGGGTTCTAGTCCCGGTTGGGGCGCCGGATTCTGTCCCGGTTGCCCCTCTTCCAGGCCAGCTCTCTGCTATGGCCAGGGAGTGCAGTGGAGGATGGCCCAGGTGCTTGGGCCCTGCACCCCATGGGAGACCAGGAAAAGCACCTGGCTCCTGGCTCCTGCCAGGATCAGCGCGGTGCGCCGGCTGCAGCGGCGGCCATTGGAGGGTGAACCAACGGCAAAGGAAGACCTTTCTCTCTCTGTCTCTCTCTCTCACTGTCCACTCTGCCTGTCAAAAAAAAAAAAAAAAAAAAAGATAGGACAGACAGACAGAGATCTTCCATACACTGGTTCACTTACTGGGCCAGGCTAAAGCTAGGAGCCAGAAACTCAATGTGGGGCTCCAAGGTGGTAGCAGGGACTTAACTGCTGTTTCCCAGAGGGCCCCTTAGAGGGAAGATGGAATCAGAGGCAGAGCCAGGATTCAAACTCAGGCACTGTGATTATAGACTGTGGGTGTCCCAAGTGGCATCTTAACTGTTGTGTCAAACATCCCCCAACTATAGATTTAAAAAATCTGTAGTGGACAAAAAGCTGTTTGGAAAAGTTCAACCTTCACTTTTGACAAACATATTAATAAAATAGAAGGATATTTCCTTAACATAATAAATGCAAGCAAACCAAAACCAACATAATGCTTAATGGTAAAATACCCAAAAAAATCTCTGTTAACCCAGGTAAAACATAAGAATGCCCATATCACCACTACTATTACATGCTGTCTTGAAGGTATAAGCCTATGCAATTAGAGAAGGGAAAGAAATTGGAAATATAAAAATTAAAAAAGGAAAAGAAATTTTTTTCTATTTGCAGATATTATGATTGTATAGTTTGGAAATATAAGAGTAAGAAAGTGCAGTACAGACCGGTGCCACGGCTCACTAGGCTAATCCTCTGCCTTGCGGCGCCCGCACACCAGGTTCTAGTCCTGGTTGGGGCGCTGGATTCTGTCCCGGTTGCCCCTCTTCCAGGCCAGCTCTCTGCTGTGGCCAGGGAGTGCAGTGGAGGTTGGCCCAAGTGCTTGGACCCTGCACCCCATGGAAGACCAGGAGAAGCACCTGGCTCCTGCCTTCCGATCAGCGCGGTGCGCCGGCCACAGCACGCCAGCCACAGCGGCCATTGGAGGGTGAACCAATGGCAGAAAGGAAGACCTTTCTCTCTGTCTCTCTCTCTCTCACTGTCCACTCTGCCTGTCAAAAATAAAAAAAAAAAAAATTAGGGATAAGCCCGGTGCCCCAGCTCACTTGGCTAATCCTCCGCCTGTGGCGCCGGCACTCCAGGTTCTAGTCCCGGTTGGGGTGCCGGATTCTGTCCCAGTTGCTCCTCTTCCAGGCCAGCTCTCTGCTGTGGCCTGGGAGTGCAGTGGAGGATGGCCCAAATGCTTGGGCCCTGCACCTG